ATAAAACCATTCGTAAGGGAACATAACATAGATTTTTTTTTTATTAATTTAGTTTGTTCGTGCAATAAAGATATCACATAACGTGATTCCTGGAATTTGTGCTGAATTCATATCATTACATAATTGATACATTGTAGGAATACAGCGACTTTACAGTAGATATATAATATCTATAATGAATATTATGTGCAGTGCTTCATAAATATACATCACTTCTACATGAGATACAATCGATCACTGAGCCCGTTTGATTAACACTGTGACCCCTTCTTGCGTGTACATTTGTCAAATTACGTCGATTTATATAATGTAGAATACAACATAAGGCAGCATAATCTTTTTGCTCATTTTTATGCACACTGACGTAGTTATATTGACTAATTTGATACGCTTTATTAATTTCCACGTACTTGCAACATATATGCAAAGGTTAGAGGTTATAATAGATCTTTCTTTTCCTTTTTTGAAGGTGGAGAATAGAACTGATTGAATGCAGTGCATCATCCTGTATCAAAACGATGCGTCATTGCAACCAATCAGATCTTTGCAGAAAATCTTTACTGGCTTTGATATTTGTATGCAAGTGGCACTGAGTTTATATGATTCGTTGATTCATTTGGTTTTAGCTTTCAGCGATTTTATGGGTACTGTAAAAGAAAGATTTTTATTCGGAGCAGTGGTCATGGCGATAAATGTCGAGAAAAATATGGATGAAGACATATTCACTGCCATTCATACTCTTTCCTCGATCTTTGCCCTATGCCTGTCTGCAATTCATTTCGTGAGTATGTTCTTGGTTAATATGCCTGTCTGATATATTTAAGCCAGTCTCTTTGTAATTTTGAGTACAACTCCACAGCCAAGGAAGTTAATTTGTAAGTTAAACTGCCAATAAGTTTAGTTAGTGATTCCGTCTGTAAATTTCTCTTGGTTGAGTTTATAAAGTTGTCTGCAAGTATGCCTGTGGGTCATAAATGAGCCTCTTAATGAATAAATCTGACTTTCATGTGTGTGTGTGCTCCT